CCCCACCGTTCCGCCAGCCTCAGGCGGTGGGTGCCGCCGCCCCCGCGCTGCCCGCTCCGCCCCGCCGGCCGGGGAGGGCCCGCCTCGCCCCGCAGGTGAGACGCGGGCGGCGGCCGCCCCTCCCCCTCCCCTCAGCGCCGCCGGAGGGAGGGAAGGCGGCTGGCCATCTCCCTCAGGGGTGTGCGCTCCCGCCGGTGCCTCCTGGGCGGATCGGTCGGGCCGGGGGTGTTACCGAGAGGGGGTCGGTGGATCGGCGGCAGCTGAACTTCCCCGCTCGGCCGGTGTGTGTGTGTGGGAATGGCAGCGCGATGCCCTCGCCGAGAGCTGCCCGAGGAGCTGCAGCCGCGTCCCTTCCCGCCCGGCGGGCCCTGAGGCGGCGGCAGGTAAAAAACAGGTAAAAAAAAAAAATAAAAAATCAATCTCCCCTCGCCCTCCCTCCCTCCGGCCGGGCCCTCGCCTTTCCCCGCAGGGAGGGGATGGGGTTTCTGAGCGCTCGGTGGGCAGGATGGTGAGGGAGGGCTGGGGCTGGAGGGATGGGATGGCGGTGGGGTGTTCGGTGGGGCCAGGCAGTTCTCTCCGGCCCCTCTCACTTCAAACACCCTTCCCTCCTTCCTTGGGTGGATTTTTGAGGGAAAAGCCTTCAGCGTGCTTACCCTTGCAGCCTGCGTTTATATATTTCAGGTGTGTTCTCTGTAACTTCTCTGTGGAGAAGTTGCCTGTCCCTGCTTCCTTTTTTTTTTTTTTTTTTCCCTTCCCAAATCTCCCTCAGGAATAAGGCTAGAGCTGTTAGGTTACAAGTCAGGATGGTGTGAGACAGGAGCGAACAGCAATATTGACCTTAATGTAGAGCCCCAGTGAAAACTTCCCTCTCTTAGGGCTCCCCACCGTGCTCCAGCCACTCTCCGGCAGTCGTTACTAAGGTAAAAAACACCTCCCAATGAGCAGGAGCACTCAGAAAGATGATAAATGCAGTGACAGCAGAGAGGTGCTTGATGAGCTGTCTGGACCTCTCCAAACTTTATTCAAGAGTACACGGCAGATGGTAAGTGAGAAGAAGGGTGAGAAATGCACAGATCCTGACCACTGTGCAGTTAACCTTGGGAGAACAGCAAGGCTGAAGGGACAGAGGCTTTGCTATGGAAAGTTACACTTCACAGGCTAGGTTTCCAAAACTGGACTCAATTCTGGCAGCTCTGGGTGAAGGTGGGAAAGTTTTGGCTGTTAGAATGGTAATTTTTTTAATCAAAAGTTACTCTCCTGTGGTAAATTTCAATGTGTTTGTGACAGTGTAGGAAATCAAGAGTTCTTGTTATACTGACTGAGAGAACTTACAGGGGCTTAACTGTGGATATGAGGGATCACAAAAAATACTTAAAGGGTTACATTCTTTAAGTGTGTAAGCACGTCTTTTTTTCAGAGAAGAGAATTGATGACTTGGTTTTACTGGAATGAGTTTAGACTCTCAGCACTACTGGGAAAGCTAGTTTGTGTAACTTGGTGCTGATGCACAAAGGGCAGAATATTTGGCTTTAACATTGAAAAAGCGATGAGTATCTTGCAAGAGCATTGATTCATAGCACTCCATTACTTGGTGAAAATGTTGTTTATGTTTATGCTTGTTTATACATTATAACATTGATAAGCTTTTTCCTCCTCAATTTTGTGATTATTTCCACTGTCAGATGTAACAAAACACTGTGAGAGTTTCTCCTTGTAATTAAATGCTATTTATAAATCAAGAAACAAGGGCTGGAAGAAGAAGTGCTAAAACTTCTTAAATTTTTGTGGCTTTTCCCACTATGATGGCAGCAGAATTTGTATCAGAATAGGACTCTGGGTTATCACTCTTACATTCAGCAGCCTGACCTCAGGATAGGACCCAGCACAAATCCACTACAGCAGTTATCTGCTTCTTGGAAACAAATCATCATCGGCTTCAGAAACTGCTTTTCATGCTACGAGGTGCTTTGTACTATTTCATTGTAGAGCACTTTCCAGGACGATACTGCTTTTTTGCAAATAAAATGAAGCTCTTCCTAGACACATAGAGTGTTCCAGGAATGTTGTTTGTACAAGAACACCAGAAATGTGTGGATGATCTGAAAGACCAGTTCATGATTCGGTGTCGAACGCTGGGTTGCCTAGTTCCTCATGCTTTACACTGCTATTTTGGCACAAGTTTACCTCCACAGCCAAAAAGCAGCTGTGTCAGTCCTGACATCTCAGTAACACTTGCAGTGATTATGACATTGCAGTTAATTAGATTTAGTATAAGCCCAATGTGTTCAGTGTCAATTTGTGATGAATTATCAAATAAATTGCTCTTTGAGAGAGCCTGCTTGAACTGTGATCTTTCACTTCAAAATAGCTAGCTGTGGGGGGGTTTTTTTGGAGCAGGTTGTACTCCAGATAATCATGGTTATCTTCATCCAGCATTCAGGAATGTATTCTGCATTATATTGTTCTGGTTACAAGCCTGTAACACTGCCTCTTAATCATAGAGCATCTGATTCTGAAGTTTTTATGGATTTTTATTCCCTGCTTTATATTTATTTCTCCACTTTCCTTTGTCCCCACGCTGCCCTCTTTTCCTTTGCAGTGCAAAGTGTAGATCAACCGATAAATAAGGTGGCTGGATCTTGGCAGCACTGGTTCTTGTGCTCCTTTTTTCAGGGATTAGCCAGGCTGCTTTCAGACCTGACAGTCCCAGCCCGCGTACGTAATGATTAGTTTGGATTCTGAAATGAAATTTGTTAGTACCTACAAGCCCTGGTGAGACCTTGGGCATGCTGGAGCTGCTGACCTGCCTGCACAAAAACATCGTGGACTTTCTCCAGCCTGGGTTCATACAACATCCTGGCAACACAATCTACTCCAAACTTTCAAACTTTTAACTACTGTGTTAGACTAACCTTCCTCTGCCCTCTCATTAATGGTCCTGGTAAAGTCTATGGAGGCAGTGAATTTAAGCCATTGGAGGCATTAGATCAGATGTCAGAAAAACAGTCTCATTTTTAGCACTGACTTAATGCATGACTTCAAGTAGCATTACTCTAGTTCTGTGCCTGCTTAATAGTTCATGCTCTTTGGCCATAAAAAGTATTTCTACAGATGAAAAAACTTGTGTAAGAAGTGCTGTATGCCATCACTTAAGTAAAACAAGCAAGTACCAGAAGAGCTTTAGGTAAATATGAAATAAATGTTATATCGCTAATAACTTCCAGGCAGGTCAAAGCCAAGCGAGAACACAATCAGCATTCCAGCATGTGTGCTACCTAAAAGGCATTTCTCTTTAGTTTGTTTCTGGAAGCCTAAATGCACAAATTAATGGGATACTTTCATAAAAGACTTGATAATAATCTTGAATGCATTACTTGTCAAAAATAAGCATTTCATAATAATAATTTGCACATCAATGAAAGCCGAGGTAGACACTACTGAATCATGTAGTTTCAGTATAATGGAATGAATCCTTGAAGTAATTTCAAGGCAATTACTTTTCAAAAATGTTTTATTAAGACAGAGGGGAAGCAAAAAAAAAAAAAAAACCCAAAACCAACCACTGGTCAAAAGAAGAGGATAGTACCAGAGCAGTGCCCCCCCCTCTCAGCAGTGACCAGAAGTGGGATGCTCAGTCTCATGAGGATGTGCAGGGATGTTCTGGCCCTCCTTCATCCTCCTTAATTGCTCGGAGCAGTCACAGACACTAAGCCCAGAAATAAATGCTACCAGGGGTGAACTGGTTTGTCTCACGCGTTTGTCTCTTGGGCTTTTTTTTCCCTGACATATCAAATATTGTGAGGTATCTTACCCAAACACATGCCACGCGTGGCTGTTATTACATTATGCTACCAAACGACAACTATGTTGAATAATAGTTAAATACTTAATTAACACACTGCAGGCATGAAGCCCCCTAGCTGACGGGTCTCACTGGGACTCATAAGCCTCTGAATGTCACTGCTTAGCAAAAGCACCTGTAGCTGCAGAGCTTGATGCTATGAAGGGAAATAAATGAGGGAGGAGGAAATCTGTAATAAAAATGTTACATGTATTTCAACTGACTTCTTTTTGTTTGTTGGACTTCTGGAACAAACTAAATTGGTATCATTCTTTGATTTTGGAATTCAAAGTAAAACTGCAAAATCGATGAACAAGAGGACGAAGTTACTGCTTTTCATTTGTTCAACAGGACATTACTAGTGCTTTCGTTGGAAAATAAAAATTAATCTCTCTTAATTTCTGTTGCAGTTAAACTAATTAAAAAATTTTATTTCTCTAGAAATACACTGTAAATGACAAATGTAGTTTTCATATCCATGTCTAATCTTGTCATAGAATTACATTGCTCTGCCAACTGTGAAATATTGATATTTTTTTTCTCTAAAAATTACACATAGGTAAGCAAGCACATAGAAGACATACATAAATAAAAGAAATTTAATTGTATTAGTTGGAGTATGCAGGTAAACATTCATACAAGACCTTTCGTTATTTATACCGCGTTAAGCTCTTAATTTTTTTTTGTGTGAAACCTCCAGATGTTCTTTGATGCTATCAGATGTTTTCTTTTGTTTTAGAGCTGATACTGGCTGCCCAGGTACCAGACTCCTCTCAGCCCACCAGTCCCCATGATGAGTGGTTCAAGCTGTGCTTCGCTTCCTTTATGCTGCTTCACTCAGACTAGCAGGTTTTCAAAGGAGCATAAGGAAGGTAGTGTAATTCCAGAAATGTAATTATTGTTATAAAAGACAATTATATTTATTTTCCACCGATTTAAGTTTCTTCTTAGATAAAAAATATTTTTACTAGGCTTGCTTTTCTTATTTAAGGATGCACGAACTTTCTTTTTCTCATTAATTTCTAGATTTTTAGCCTTGTCATTTTATGAGAAAGAATGAGCGTGACGCTGTCTTACATCAATGAAAATAGTGCTGCAGGATTCATTAATTCCTTGCTTTTTGGGTGTATCGAATGTAAAGCAATTAGAGTGCAGAGAATTAAAACTTTTTTCGCAGCTTATTTGGCGGAGTGTGACAAAAGGGAGAACAGTCAAAAAAAAAAAGTGACAGCCATGGTTTAAACTCCTATAAATGTTATAACTACATTCAGGTAGTATTTTAAGTTTTTAATGCATTTCTTGAAGCCTGGGAGGTGGGAATACCAATTCCCACACAACTGGGAAAACAGTTTTGTTTTGGGTTTTGTTTTTTTTCCCTTCATCCTCTTGTCACAAAGTACGAGGGTGTTTACAGGAGCAGTTTGTACCTTCTTTTTCCTATTTTCTTTGTTTCCTGGGGAAGGAGCGGGGAGCTGTGTGTCATTCTGCTTTCCCTGAAGCCCAGGTGTTGTTTCCAGCGTCCAGGAAGGTGTGAGTGAGACAAGGGTGATGATGGAGTCGGTGGAGTTGCCGGCGGAGGGGAATCCCCTGATCAGAGCCGTCTACCAGAGCCGCCTGCGCCTCACCAGGCTCCTGCTGGAGGGGGGTGCCTACATCAACGAGAGCAATGACAGAGGTGAAACCCCCTTGATGATTGCTTGCAGGACAAAACATGTGGACGCCCAGAGCGTCAGCAAGGCCAAGATGGTTAAATACCTGCTGGAGAACAAGGCTGACCCCAACATACAGGACAAAGCTGGAAAGACAGCCTTGATGCACGCCTGCTTGGAAAAAGCAGGCCCCGAGGTGGTGTCTCTGCTGCTGAAAAGTGGGGCGGACCCCAGCCTGCAGGATCACTCCAGTTGCTCTGCACTTGTGTATGCAATCAACTCTGGGGACAAGGAGACCTTGAAAGTTCTTCTCAACGCCTGCAGGGCGCGGGGGAAAGAAGTCATCATCATCACGACGGACAAGTCCCCCTCGGGAAGGCAGAAAACGAAACAGTACCTAAACGTGCCTCCTGCAGACCTCGAGGAGTGCCATTCCCCCACTGCTTGCACTTCCCCGTCGGAAATAGAGCTGAAAACATCTCCATCCCTGCTTACAAGTTCAAACGAAACTAAAAAGGCACTGCTCAACTTTAAAGACCTGGATCATCCACAGAGCGTGGACAGTTCATCTCAGACAGTCTCACCGACGAGAAGATCCAGCTCAACAAAAACAGGGTCCAAGCTGGCACAAGTGCAGTGGCTGCAGTCTGAGCCTTGGATAAAAAGCTCTCCATCGCTCTTTCACCAGAGTAAAATTGCCTCTTTACAAGAAGAACTTCAGGATATTACTCCAGAAGAAGAGCTCTCTTTTAAAATCGATGGCCTGGCCTTATCAAAGAGATTCATCACCAGGCACCAAAGTATTGACATAAAAGACACCACTCATTTATTGAAAACCTTTGATCAGACTGGATCCAGGAAATTATCATACGATGAGATAAACTCTCAGACTCCTTATGTTGAAGACAAGCATAACCCCAGTGGGATTCCTATGGGTAAGGATGCCAGTTCAGGACAAATCCGCTTCATTTCAAACCTGAGCAGTATTATCCAGAAAAGAAATTTAGGAGCAAATCACTACAGCTCTGATTCTCAGTTAACTACTAGTCTAAGCCCTGCTGCTGCAGAAGACTTTAAGTCAGTGACAGGAAAGAAGAAGATTCCTTCTCCATCTCACGCTGTGTTACCAAGTTCTAGAGAAGTACTGGAGAACATGCCTGCTGTTACTCTGAGCAGGAGAAATCAAGTTTTTCTAGAAAGGAGGGGTTCAGGACCCTTATTGTTGGACCACGTGGCTCAGACAAGACCAGGTTTTCTTCCGCCACTGAATGTGAGTCCTCACCCCCCGGTTCCAGATATTACTTTCATAAACAGGGTTTCTGGGGTGATTTCTTGTGGACAAACCCACTTAGTACCAGCCGCACCCGCTTTCCCTAGGGAGACCAAAAATACGAGAATGCTGCTGAGGAGGCAGTCATTACAGACTGAGCAGATTAAGCAACTAGTGAATTTTTAACAGGGGATTAACGAGTTACGAAGTCCTTACAATGTGTACATATTTACTGCACTACTGAATTGTGATGATACCTATTACAAAAGATAGTAGGTCTGTGATGTAAGGCACTCTGCCTTGGAATGTGTTAAATAGCTTACAGACTACTCCAAAAGATAAACTTAACTAATGATGCTGCTTTATTGAAACTGAGGAATGTTTATTATACTGTTTTCATGATGTTTTCAACTTCAGCACTGAAATCTTACCTGTGACAGGCGGAACGCACAACAGGTCTCAGGCACTGCAGTTCTCCTTTTAGGTTGGAAATGCTGTCCCTCCTACGTTTCTGCACCCAGAAGGGTGGTACACGTGGGATTTGGGAACTCAAAATATCTGGCTGTGATGCTGGATGCTGGACTGACTCTGTCCGAGTTGTGCCCTATCCAGAAATCCCACCCACAGCCGGTGTGCACGCGGGGTGGGCAGTGGCAGGTCTGCACAGTAGCATCCTCTGGCTTTAGTGGCTTCACCGCACGTAAATGGACAATACACAGAGTCAGTAAAATTCATGTTGCAGAGCTGTGCCCAGGAAATCCCAGTTGAAGACTGGGAAGCCTGCCTTTAGGTGCCTTGCTGCCCACTGGAAGTCGGTGTGATACCAAGAGCACTGGAGAGCTCAAGTTCAGCAACGTGATTCCTGGAGGCTGAGTCAAGAAGCCACCACAGCGAGGAACAACTCCTGAACAACCTCCTGTAAAATGACCAAGCCCTGCTGGTGGTGTCAGTGAGGAGCATCAGTCAACTTGGGCTTCTCAAGCTACACTCGACTGCTGGACTCCACTCATTTAAAAAGAGGAAGGGTTGGGGGAAGCAGAGGCTGCATCTAAACCAGGGTCTGCTACTTTCTGTAGTTCCAGACTCTCAAAACACAGATCTCCAGCTCGTGCAGGAGCTCTTTCTCCCCGGTCACAGGCCTGGGTTTCTTATCAAGAGGGGATACAGCTGGTGGGACACATCCAGATGTTGTCTCGATCAGCAAGGACACTTCACACACATGCTTGGGAGCAAGGAAGAGAGAGCTCTGTCTTGCTCAGACAGACCTAGAAGGAATCCAACAGCAATGATACTCACCTGGGAGGTGGAAGTCCTCCTTTTGCCTGATTTGAAGCAGAGGACTGAATTTCTTAGAGAAGAGAAACATGCCTTTGCCTCCAAGCTGTTGTGTATTTTTACATATCTCTGTGTAAAACCTATTTTTCCTTCCCATGTCATGTTCTGTGATTCCAAGGGTCTACCTTGTCTTTGTGCACATCCCATAGATGGTTGATTTCTGGTTGATTTTATAACTCATCTTCTGAAGATTGAGTAATATTGAATGTGTTCTGTTTTGTCATAATTTACAGAAATTAATTGTATTGAAATTGTGTTTGTATAATGTGAATTTCTGTGTACTGAAATGAGAAGGTTTTGTTTTGTTTTGTTTTTTGGAAATGCACAGTGGGTATTGTCTGCCTTCTTGCAGTTTCAGTCAAAATTCACCCAGTCTGACATTTCCTGACAAATAACTGCAGTGTTACTTAGCTTTGCCCTTAGTACAAGGCAGTGTCAAGTGGATGATAAGCATACAGTCTCTGTAAATGCCTTTTCATGTGAAAATATAAGGATGTCCAACAGTTCATAACATGCATGTTCTGAAGAAGGGAACATTTGACATCTGGGAAGTACAAGGGTATGGTTTACATCTCCACACAGCGGAGTTGTGTATCAAGTGATGGTCTGAAACTACAGATTTAAATGTTGGAATCAATTTTGTGACACAAAATCTCTGCAGTCTCTGGTGGTGGCTGCCAGAAGGCAGATGCTCTGACTGTTGGTTCTCTGTCCGGGCTCTCAAAGGTAGCTAGAATCAGCAGAGATGTGAATCTGTATCACCACTGTCAAAATTCACTCTTCCCCACCCAATACAGGTGTGGAAGGCCGTGGTGTCCTTGTCCTCCTGTGGTCACAGCTCAGCTACCTGGTGACAGCTGGGAAGGCCCACGGTGAGCGATGGCATTTGACGTCCCCAGATGTGATTGTCACACTTGTTTAGCTTCTCGCCCCTCAAGAACCATCAGTGCCAGTCACAAAAAATGAGTGCTGGCAAACCCATTACTTGTTTGGTTTTTATTTAATTGGAGATGGACTCTTCATCCGCTGAAAGATTCTTGGTCATTTATGGATTGGCTGGCAAACCCTAGTCTTGGCATGAACACAAAAAAGAAGTGTTCACTATGGTAAAAAAAAATAATAAGTAATGCAAACCCAACCCCTGAGTTTGCACATTAAGCATCCAAAAATGAGGAAATTCCCAAAGTGAAGTTATTTACATTTTAAGAGGTATCAAATACCAGTGGAAACATGGTAAAGGTAATGGGAGTCTTTGGTTCCATTCAGGTTCTGTCTTCAGGAGATGTTGCTGGATCAGCATCTGCATATCCCAGGTAGAAACAATGTTTACATGGAAATCTTTTTATGACAGAGAAGTTAAATGGAATAATATATGTCAATATTAAATTATTAACTGGTCCCTACAAGCACCATAAACAGACACAACAGAATTTTCAAATATTTTTATGATATTATAAATGGAAATGGCAATTTGTAGTCAGCTCACAATGAAGTTAATTGAAGCTAAAAATGCATCTTTTAAACAATATAAATTGTTTTTTATAAAAAAATAATCAACAGATCAGGTGTTCAGTATCTTTGCTGAAAGCATAAAGCCCAATTTCTGCTATATTGATTTTAAAACTAAGTACAGATATGGGGTTACTGATCCCTCAACTGAAATGGTAATTTTGCTACGAAATGCTCAGACAACAGAGGGAAATGGCGAATGTCTCAAAAAGTGAAGTTTTTCTGTAGCGTTGCCAGTATTTTGTGCTTACTTTTGATGCAGATGTGAAAGGTTGACATTAATGTTTATTGTTGCATCGGTGTTAAAAGTGACCTTCAAAGGAAAAAAAAAAAAACAATTCACTTTTGTTCTCTTGATGTTGTTACGGTGCATAAATAAAAGTTATTTTTTTCCCCAATTCAGGGAGTATGGAAATAGAGGCATCCTTTTATTCACCGCTTAGGAGACGCTGAGTCACTGCCAAAGGTACTTGCTCACAAGTGTTTCTCAGGCTGTCTCTACACAGGAAAATCGGAGCAGATAATTAGATTTAATCCAAAGTAGCTAAATTTGTAGGGAGTATTGTGTGCGAGGGGAGGGGCGCGCTCTGCCCGCGGTTCCACTTCACAGGAGATGCGCTTCTGCCCTCTTTGAAGTCTTAATCCTCCTCATTTTCTGGTCGTCTGTAGTGTCAGCAAGCCCTGAATTTCTCATATTAAATTCCACCCCGAAACATTAAAAGTTTACAAACAACAAAACACCTTCAGGTGTTCTTTGTGCGTCTGGGTAGAGAAGAAAACACCACAGACTAAAACTTTTTCCTTGCTACTTTTCTTTTAAAAAAGAGCCGTGGCTTCCCATCCGGGGGGGACTGCCCCTTCTCGCACCCTACAGGGAGAAATCGGTGAAGTTTGATCCACGCTAACTCATAAAAACATTAATGGCATAAAACCCTTAAACATTTAAACACTATGAAATGGAGGTGGCGTTTCTGCGGGCAGGCACCCCTGCCAACGTGAGTTAGGGCTCCCGGGAACACAGGCTGCCGAGGGGATGGTGGAATTTTGAATTGAAGTAGTAAAGTTTATAAAAGGTGAAAAAACATATTTTTTTTATTTCCTGTTGGTTTTTCATTTTCTCTGTGAAACGCTGTGAAAGCATACAGTGAAAGTCACCCCTAGACAAATGGCAGTGCCATCACAAGAACAGGCATCGTCTGAAAATCTCCGATTTCTGTTTAAGAAATTTAAGAACAGCAAACCACCACACAGAAATGCTGTAAAAAAGCAGTTTTCAAGGCAGTGTTGAAGGTGTGGTGTTCAAAGGATGGTCTCCAAAATAATACCCTTCCCTGCACTTTTTGCTTTAAGAAGATAAGGATTTGGAGTTGCTTTGGTTTGATTTTTGTCTTTTTACAATTATGCAGCACTTCCAAAAGAATACTGCTGTAATTTGATATAACTCGCATCTGGTACACCGTACAACTAATTAATTTTCCAACCAAAACCAGGTATTTATAAATAAATGGATTCTTGCATTAGTCAGCCATTATCCCATTACCTGGAAAGTTTGTTGATGTAACAGGAGCGTGGCTTGTTACAGAAGGGCCAACATTTAGTCATCGCCAACCATCCCACTGAAAACATTAACACTATTCATAAAAGGGACAAGCTTTTTTTTTTTTTTTAATGAATGTTGATACCCAGAAATAGAGGGAGGAACGCCTGTTTTAAAACATCTCCTGGCTGCACATTTTTTCACCTTAAAGTATTGCTGGCGCTGCAGTACCTTCAAGAAGGTACTTCAGGTTGGGTAAGGATAAATGTTAGAAAATTTGGAGTGGGTTGTTTATTTTTTTTCAGGGTGAAGGCAATAAAATTCCAATTTATTTTTTTTTACTTAAATTCCTTGCAAGTATCTGTCCAAGCTCAACACAGATGAAAGTAAAAGTCGGTAATAACTGAACTACAGGAGTTACAGAAGGATTACTTCAGACTCCCTCTGCATCCCTATCCATCCTCTGCGGTGGTAGGTGCTGTGTGGCAGGTGAAAAGTGTCATTAAATCATTAAAAAAAATAAAATAAAATAAAAAGAAAGGCTGCAAGGAAGCTCTGGAGGTCAGGTCTCCTTCCTCCCACCTCCAGCTCAAAGCAGGGCTTGCCTTGTCCATCCTGCTCATCCCAGCTGGGATTTGGGAAGCACCTGAGGACTCCTAGTCACCAGCAAAAAGACAAAACCACTATTTCAAATTTAACCATAAAGGTGGCATCTCCCCTGCCAGCACTGCACGGTAAATCTGGTGTTAATTCAGAGGTTTTGACCCAAAATAAGGTTTATTTATGTTCAGTCATTTAAAAGACAGACATGCTAAGAACTTACATTGAACAGTGAAGGTATATTTTAGAATTGCACGGAGTCCAGTTTATCCCCAAATTTCTCTAAGCCAGGTGCAGATGCGTGCTGATGAACTCTAATTAATTCCAGTATTTTTTCCCTGAAGGCATCAGCTGGCGATCCTGAGCACTTCCACGAGTTGCCACAGATGGATGTTACAGCCTCCTCTCCCAAAAGCCACTCCCTTTCAAAAGACAAACTTGACCTGTACATACCTTTTAAAAACACAATAATGAGAACACCTTTTAAAAAGCATTATTTTAATTCTGCTTGGACAGATCCTGATTAAGATTATGAATTTGCAGATGCCTTTTTTTTTTTTTTCCCCTGCTACAGCAATGAGAGGAATCCCAATTAGGCAGTGAAATCAACAGCTGTAACGACAGAAGGATCAGCGGAAAAATTCAAGGGAGCCAAGCCAAAGCACAAGGATATTTAAAAACACCATAAAAGTGCCCTGAAAATTTAGATGTTCAAAATTCAGAGCATGATGGAGAGTACGATAATTTGAATTTTACTGGAAGCAGAGTCAAACCTGATGCTTCCTTGTTATGGGTTTTATTGGCCAAACTCTGCTGTGTCCATCCCCAGCCGCCTGCTGCACCCTCTGCCCATGGTGACCAGGAACATGGACCTCACTGCTGGCTGCAACCTGGGGCCACTGCAGTGTGGACTGATGTTCTTCAGCATTTCTCCAGTATTTTCTTCAACCATGATACTAAAAGAGTAATAATACAGTAATTACAGGGGTTTCCAGCAGAAGGACGTTACCGGAAGTAGCTAGAAGAGGGTGGTCACATCTCACTTCACCACAAAGTGGTCAGCGAAGGCCCAGAAGAGGCAAAGGGCTGAAGTTCAGCACCTTGGCCTGGTTTTTGCCTCCCAGCAAGTAGTTAATATGAGATTTAGAGATAAAACTCTTGGCAAAACTGACAGTAAATTTATCAACACATAGACGATGAGCCTGGGCACCAGGGAATGGCACTGCAGATACTCCTGCAACAACAGATGTACAAAGTAAAGAACAGAAACACCTGTGAGCATCAAAACACAGCGACAAAAAAAATGGCTGTCAATTAAAATTTCAAGAAATTAACTACTATTGTGGTATAAAAAAGGTTTCTAGTTAACAGAAAGTTTATGGAAAAAGTGTTTCTTTAAAAAATTGTCCAACGCTTCCTAGTGTCTCTCCTTGTTAGTAGTTTTATTAAATTAAATACTCTCTGAAAATTGAAAGGAATTTTAAATGAAGAAATTTTAGAAGAACATTGAAACTCATGGAAGGGCTCCCCCAACTCTTGGATATAGTACAGGACACAACTCCTAACCGGCTCTTCCTAACCTTTAAAAAACAAACAAACTCCAAACGAGCCCAGCACTGTGATTTCTGTGGGGTTTTTTTCTTAAAGAAAAGGAAGGACAGCGCCATTTCACCACTGATGAAATGAGTTATAAGGACTTTCTGTGCAATTCACTCACTCTGCCTAAAGGCAGAGGTGTAATTCCTGGTGCTGGGCTGCAGGAGGGAAAAGGCCACCCCATGTTCCAGGTGCCTGAATCGAATCCCTCCGTATCCAAAGAAATCCCAGCAGGAACCACGGGTGAAAGCTTTGCAGTGCCTGGAATTAACCATTAAACAGGGTTTAATGGAAGGTGTGGTAAATGTCAGCAAACGGCCTGATGGCAGACAGATGGCTGGCAAATAAAACATGCCAGGCTTTCATTTCAAGGTTTTAATTGAAGAAGACGACTGGGGTTGCGGGGTTTTTTTTTGCAGAGTAGGCCAAAACTGAGTAATTCTTCACATGAACGCTGAAGGTGAAGATGGAGAAGTAGGTTTTTAAGATATATGCCTTTGGGGGCATTTTCTTCCATTTCTTCGACAGCACATTTAAACCACACAAACCTGAGGAAATCAGCTTCTGCTTTGCTTTCGTCACAACTGACAGGTTACTGCAGGGTATTGCTGTGCAGCTGCGCAGGACTAATGATGTCAGTTCTCTTCTGTAACATGTTATTTTTTCTATTTAGTCAGTTCCAGCAAATTCAAAGAAAAATACGACACCTGAACTACACTTGCAGTAAATTGGAGATGTTTTATTAATCAGTTAACTCACCTGGTCACCCTGAACAATACCGAATTCGTTTAAAGTCAATCAGATTTTTCATGTAACAATTAAGTCCAAAAACCTGCCTGAAAGATAACAACAGACATGAAGCAATGCTGATAGACAAAATGATTCCACAAGGAGGTGACAATTTATAGCTCGTAATCATTTTAAATACAAAGAACATCACTGACAGAAGGTTAAAAAAAAAAAAGCAACAACTGGAGTAACACAGACCTGCCACCCAGCCCCATTTCCAACAGAATAAATAACCGTCTTTCTTCTCACCTTTATTTATTGCCAGCCCCACAGTTAATACATCTTATTTTAGGAGAGTGTTTGTACGAAGATTCTTATGAAAACAAAGATAAACAAATTCAAATGAATTTATTTACATGCAAGTCAGACCAGACTGACATAGGGAACATAAATGACTTCACAGGAAACTAATGGAGATCCATAGGTAAAAAACACATACAGGAATTCAGATACATAGGATAATCCATACAGAATTGTCAAATTCACCATACAGTCAAAGCCTTCTGTCACTGCAGGAGTGCTTCATATAATTAATTTCTAGTATTTTGTTTAATCTAGTTTTACGTGTCTTGTTGCCTTAATTAATTTTTCTGGTAATCCAGATCATGTCTTAATTACATCAGAATATCCCCATTTATTCATACCACATTTATTACTCACTGACACTTCTTCCATGATGCCTGCACCCGTAAGAACACTTCTGACAATTACTGGTATTTTTTACTTAATAGTTTAACCAGTTTTAACAAGTCCCAATACTTTAGGTGGCAATTGATAAATGGGAAAAAGGTTTCTAAATAACAGAAAAGTTTGCCATTGTAGATACAAAAAACCCTAGCCAACTGAAACAGGAAACCCCTTAAGTCAATAAATTTAACTGCCTGCAACAAGGAGCTGAAACAAGATCTAGGAGTCCATTCTAGTCCTTAACGCTTACATAAATGGTGGAACAAAAGGACAATGAGATATTCTTGACTTTAATCTATTAAAAATAAATGAAGGGCTATAAAGTATTGCTGCTGCTGAATGACCAGCGATATCTGCACACCTGCTCACCCAGCACCTCCTGAACCTGTTTTAGTCAAAATGGTTTGGTTTAGAAAAAGGTCTTTGAAGTACAATGTTTTCCATAGTTATGCTCAGTTTAGAAATAGTTCCGCTCTCTTCCTCCCATGGTATAGCAAAGTGTGCACACAAAGCTCAAAGAAAGAGATGCTCTGAAGAATGGAGAGATTAAATCTGTTCAAGTCAGACCAGGTTGTCACAGTGAACTAAAAATTACATCAGTTCTGCCAGTTCATTAAAAGGAATGACTCTGCCAACTTGACATTTTGGTGGTTACCACCATTCACACTGACTGCTTGTATAAATTAAATACAAGTAGGTAAGTTTTTTTTCCTTATTTAGAAAAAAAATTCCTAATTTTATCAAAGCCTATTGTATCTTAGCAGATGACAAAAATGATCAAAGCTCTACCCCTCAAGAACCTAACCCAAGAATTAGATAAACCTGGCAAAGGTGCGTAGGTAATAACCAGGAATCCTGAATTTTAATGACTGCGTGAAATCACCATATTTCAAGATTTATGATTGATATATGTTAAATATATATAATATGACCAACTTTTCTATCATAGTTGTATACTAATGCTGTGTAAGAAATCAAAATTTGCTGTGGTTAAGTCTTTATTACTAACAGCCTGGACAGTGTTGTGTAAAACTTCAAAGTTAACACAATTCCTGCAGGAAGCATGTGAGAGGAATGGAAAAAGGAGGACAAGACGATGGCAGGGGTATGTCCCTTCACAGAACCAGCTTTCGGTTAGAAATCAAAATCTCCTGTCATTGTGAAAAAAACCCCTTTGTAACATTTGGCAGAAGGCAACAACCCACAGCTGGTGTCTCAATCTGCACAGATGTCAAGATTTTTATTAAAGATGCAGAAGCAAAAGAAGCAAAAAATGCTTAAAATGAAATGGGTTGGACTCTTCCTGCAGGTGATAAGCAGGGTTGCAATGATTTTAGATTTCTCAAAGCGAACTCCAACTTTTGAAAATTTGTGAAATTGTATTCTGTGAATTAAAAGATGCTCAAACCGGGAGAATGGAGAAAACAACTGTTGCATCACAGAAATGTACAATTTTTGCTGCTAGCACTCATCACTGTACAGCTATTTAATTCTTAGAGCCTCCAGCTTTCAGAAAGACTGCAGCAGAACATTTTAACAGTAACTCCTGTGATTCCTCAAATTTAGTTTCAAACTCTTTAAAGTTTGAATCTCTCTTTCAAAGCACTACAGCTCTTCTGATGTTGTCTCTGATGTGTACCTCACTGCAATCCATCTCTGGGCTCTCTATGTACAGGACAGGATTTTTCTTCATTTTGGGGCTTCTGCTTGCCCCAGCACCTCCTGCCACGCAGCTACAACTCCACCTCAGTCTCCTCAGAATCCCAGGACTGTGTTGCTGATGACTCAGAAAGCACAGAGGCAAGCCATGGTGTGAGATGCACAACTGCCACATTGCAGAGAACTTGATTAATTTTAATTCAGTAAAAATAATCATTCTTTCTCCCTGGAACATGTAGCATCACTCTTCTATTGACCAGGACTGAGAACATTATCAATTGCAGTGGCATTAAAAACGCAGCATCAATCAAAATAAGCTACCAAAAAACCAAAACCCTTTGGGAAGTGCACAGTTCTGTACTTAATTCGGTCTAGACTCTTGTCCTCCCCTATAAAAAGCAAAAGTGGGCTTTGGCAGAGATTGAGTGTCCCACAGACTGTGGCTTACACAAAAGCAGTTAGTAGCAAACTACCTTGGTCCACAATTACCAGCTGGGACCATTCTCCCCTTTGGATGCTTTCAGGGAAGAAGTACAGTGTATTTAGGCAAAGTGAGTAGCCTTTACTACATGCCCCTGGGTCAATGAGAGGGAACGAGCACAGGATGAGTAAGCAGCAATTCTGACCTATTAAAAAAGGCATTAAATTTCTACTTGTGAGCCTTTCAATGCAAGTGTTATATAAAAACTCCTCCAATACCCACAGCTGTGTTCTATACAATTCTTTTGGGAAGGAAAATGTATTTCCCTGAACCAGAAATTTTCACTTTTAAAGAGGCTAAGTATCATAAGGTCAGAGATTGCCTGCTTTGTATTTACTGTTCTATTCTTATGGCTTTTTTGAATTCAGAATTTTGTGGCTCCAAGATGTCATAATAAACCCTACTTTTATCAAAGTTTTCTCTGATGTAAACCAAATCTTCTACAGCATACACATCTTCCTTTCCTGTCCAAACAGTGAGGCTGTACCTATACCAAAAGAAAGAAAAAAAGAAAAGAAAAGAAAAGGAAAGAAAAGGAAAAGAAAAGGAAAAGAAAAGGGAAAGGAAAAGGGAAAGGGAAAGGGAAAGGGAAAGGGAAAGGGAAAAGGAAAAGGAAAAGGAAAAGGAAAAGGAAAAGGAAAAGGAAAAGGAAAAGGAAAAGGAAAAGGAAAAGGAAAAGGAAAAGGAAAAGGAAAAGGAAAAGGAAAGGAAAGGAAAGGAAAGGAAAGGAAAGGAAAGGAAAGGAAAGGAAAGGAAAGGAAAGGAAAGGAAAGGAAAGGAAAGGAAAGGAAAGGAAGAGAATAAAGAATACGTTATTATCTTAAGACAAAGCATGTAAGACAGAAAGACACTGCAGTAATGAGCTCATAAAAATATTTTTTTCCTCATTATAGAGGTAAATCACACAATGGGGCCCCAGTCAAACTTCAAGTTCTTGCTCATAAAGCTAAAGTTGGTGGAACTTCCCAAGGAGGACTGCAGAATTTTTAGGATGGCAATCCAACAGCACCCACAATAATTTACCTATAGCCTGGTCCTTGTGTGAACTGTCGTCCCAAACCCAGCAAGGAGTGAAATACAAAATCCTAGGCAGATGTCCAGCAAACAAATTTACCAGGCTCAGCATTCAAAGTTTGACAAAGTAATAAACAGTTACAAGTAGAGGATTGTAACAGAAAATATGAGGTGATCTCAGTTATAGGCAATTTTCATACTCCATGTTTTGTCACCTACATGATGTGTATGTGACGCCGTCTGATTAACTCAATGTATCTTCTGTACTTTATCACATACTTTTCTCATTAATTGAACAGACTTTATTGAAACTCTTAAAAAAACCTGAAAAACTTCCAAGTATCATTTAAAGTTAAAAGCAATTACCCTCCACAATCCCCACTTGACAAATACTTCTTTTTTTCTCCTTTGTTTATTAAAACTGTATTTATCAAAAATAGAGGTAAATCAGAATTTACTTGGATGTCAGGAAAACTGGCTCAGGAATTTCTTTCTTCTAATCATGTCACTAAGATAAGGATTTTTATGTTAAAGAGAAAATCCTGGTATTTCAGTGGGAATAATGGTTGTATCCAATGAGGACATATTTGAGAATGGCACAATTACCAAGACGTACTCTTAACTATATTTTGAAATTAATTTCCTAGTTTCAAACGTTTCATTCTAATTTCTCTCTCAATTCACTTAAAAAAAAAAAAAGTACTCTATTTGCCACACTGTCATGTCTAATTACTTAGAATTTTTCCATACAAGTCACTCTCCTAACTTTTCTGTCTTGAGCTTGGTTGGTGCTTAACTTACTGAAGTGCAGGTAGGCAGAGTAAGTGTAAAAGATGAGTAGAAGACAATTATGTACAAAGCGGGCTTGATTCTCATTCTATTACATGTAAGTAATCTTTTCTACAAAACTGTCATGGGTTTGTAAGAACTAATTTTAGAAGGAAATATTAAGTCAGTGTTTGGAAACCACTGAAGGTATTTCAAGTACCTAAACAAGATTAGCTTTGTAGCACACTCATTAACTTCCAATTTAAAGATCACCTTTACTGTTTTCATGTCAAGTTATTACAGAAAATATAAATACTGAAACCAATAAAAAGTGTCCATAAAATGTAAATACTTAAATTTAATTAATTCCAAATTGCAACGTCTAACCACTAGGTCTATTTAACTACATTAGTCTCACGAAATGCTTGTAGTGCAACTGGGTTACAAACCTACACAAGATTCGCTACCTATAACAAGTAATTTTAAAAGAGGCTTTTGGAACTTTCTTATTTTAAAGAAATGAATAGTGACAATTTCTGTACGTCAACACCATGTCAGAACTGAAGGAATAATCTGAAGGGATAATCTAGAAGAAAAAATATTTTCAATGGAATTGGGCTAAGTATGTACACCTAACTGCTATATTTAATATAAACAATTATGTGCCTTTGTAATAAAGACAGCTAAAAATAAAGGCCATCAGACTTACCTGTCCGACTGCTGCATTAACCAGCACAGCTCAGATATTGACTGTCGAACTAACGCGGCTCTGACAGGGAAAGTCACAGGCTGGGAAAGGGCACTGCAGATCTGAGCCATTTCTTTCACCATCACCAAATCATAGCCTGCAATAAAGACCATTCGATTACAAAGAGTGATTCACAAATACAATCTCTCTGAAGACACAATAAACTCCCGAATGGCTGGGTTGTGTAATAATACAAGAGCAAACACGGGGCTTGTGAAAATGACATAACTCTGCAATGAAATCGCTAAATCATTATAAAAAAAAAAAGGCATTGTCCTGGAGGAGAAAAGCAATACTAATATGGAAAAATAAACTTATTTTGAAAATCTTTACTTCTATTAATTACAGTGTTATTCTATATATAGTACAGAATGTGACATATTCTAATGTCCAGGAAATTGTACCTTTGCTCTCTCTCTAAAAAAACAATGTTAGCGGTGACTTCAACTAGTTTTAACTTGACAGTGAGCTTTTAAAACAGAAACATTTAGAAAAAAAATTGAATGAATGCAACAGAAGACTTTAAGCACGTAAAGCATTTTGTACTTAAAAAATGTTAAAATCAAGCAACCTGAAACACTTCAAGTGCCCGCTGTTGAGATTTTTACAAGCCCTAGAGCGAGTTAAAACAGTATCTAATATTCTCTTATTTCTACAGGCTATGAAAATCTTAATTTTAATAACAACAGTTACTAGTTTTTTTCTTAAGTACTCATATGCAATGTTGTGACTGAAAAGACTTAAAGCATCAAATCTTAAAAAAAGCAATTTTGTTGGGCATAGAGCAACTTGCAGTCTAAATCAGTCAAATAAACTCTTTTTCTTCTGTCTTATCTTTAAAACAGCACCACCATATACCGAAATTTAGAATGGAGATAAAGTTACTTTTATTAAAAAAAGATGACTCAGTACAGTATTTCCAGTACGTTATATCCAGCAACTTTTTACTGCACTGAAAATACTCTGGACAGAGTACTATATAGTTTAATAAAATTACTGTATAACATAAAACAAAATCCTCATAACACAGTATTAAATCTTGCTAACGAACAATTAGCAATTTGGAAAGGTGTATAATTTTGCTGTTGTAGTCACAGACAGTATTGCTGGGGCTCATGCTGCTGCACACAATGCACGTGCACTGGAGTAAAACACCCTAACGAAGCAGCTACGAGAATTATGAGAGGAATCCTGTGAAAAACACCCTAAGCTACTGGCTACGTGTTCAGGATCTGAATTCAAGTTAGGGATTAACAGTAAGAAACTTCAATTAGATTCTCAAAACTGAGACTGTAAAAAGTTACTAATGTCAGTAAATTGGAAAATTTATTGCAAAAATTCAATTGTTCAACAGAAATGAAATGTTAAAAACAATGCTGACCCACAATTTGATTTCAGTTATCTACTGCAAAAGCACATGGACAGGGTTTTGAATTTCCAGCTAATCTATTTTTCTGCAGTAAACGTGCCTGAATTCCAATTACCAAACCAATACTCATAGGATACAGGGAGTGGACTACCTGAAACAGGGTGTAAGCAATTTGTCCCTCAAAGTTCTTCAATATATGCAAATGAGTTGAAGAACAAAATACTGTTAACAACAAAAATAATATTTTTACATGGTTCTGCTGCAACTCAAGCATTGAACTAATTGCTATAAAACACTATCAAATATAGACCAACAGAGAAAATAATTCTTCTTACATTAACTATTATTTTCAAAATGACCAGGTGGCATATAGTTTATTTTAAATCAATTATGAAATTAATTTGGAGAAAACAGACTATGCAGTGTAAGCATTAAATGCGTAATCTGTACCTTCATTGTGTTTGCCAGGGTGCCAGCCAGTTGTCCACCCCAGAGATAAGGTGACATCTGGGAAAAATGAAGTGACAGTGTTGAGGAACCCTTCTGCATCCACCACAGCACTCTTTCCATTAGGTCCCAGCAGGATGTCTGCGTTGATCCAAACGGGTCGCCTCAAATGCTGCTTCACCTCATCAAGAAGCTCCAAGGAAGGTCGTACGGCTTCTAGACTGTGCCAACAACACACGGGTGAGATGAGAGACCTCACTCTGGTGGAACATGGGAAACGTACAGTGCATACATACAGGGATAAGTTAATGAAACTGTCCCTGTAAGCCAGAGAAGAAATGTTGAGGACCCTCTCTACCATAAGGTCACTATTACTGCTGGCATAAAGTAGAATCATAGAATGGTTTGGGTTGGAAGGGACCTCAAAGATAATTGAGTTCCAACCCCCCTGCCATGGGCAGGGACACCTCCCACTAGAGCAGATTGCTCAAGACCCCACGTCACTCAGGAGCATCCAGGCGGGTCTTGAAGATCTCCAGAGAAGGGGACTCCACACCCTCCCTGGGCAGCCTCTTCCAGGGCTCTGCCACCCTCACCCCAAAGAAGTTCTTCCTCAGATTGGAGGGGAACTTCCCATGGTCCAGCTTGTGCCCATTGCCCCTCATCCTGTCACTGGGAAAACCACTGAGAAGAGTCTGGCTCCATCCTCCTTCAACCCACCCTTTAGATCCTTGGTCTCATAAAGCCTCTTGTCTCCCTGCTGTCCAACAGGAACTGCTTCATGGGTCTGGCCTCCTGGCTCTTCTAACTCAGGACCTGTTAAGACTTTGATGTAACTGAACTCTTTGGAAGGATTTTAATTAATGAAGCCATTGCAGGCTCCAACACTTTTGGTACTGGTTGTTCCCACAGCTCAAAAGCGTGGCCTACCAGTGACAGCATGAAGAGCTCTGCCCACCAGATGTTCATTCTACTATTAAGTGTGAGATGCAGTCACTTGAGCAACCAATGCAGCACTACCTGTAAGCATTTAACAAAATACCTGAAGTCACACATTCTTTCTGCTCTCCCAAATCAAAAGAAAAAGCAAACAATAACCGTTCTCTATCCACCAAAACTTTTGAGGCAGTATTGTGGATGGAAAGGAAATGTGGAATAATGGGGAAAAGGAATGAATGCAAAAAAAAAAAAAAAAAGGTATTTTTTTCTTTCACAGCAAATTAACATTCTATGTAACATCCAGGAATTAAAAGTCATTATGGTTAGAGCTGCGATTTCACTACAAATAGCAAGGACCTGTGTTTTTGAAAGGTTTTCGACCTTAGGTTTTCAACCTAAGTTGCGAAAAGCTCTGAATAAGACATCTTCCAGCTTTTCCTCAAAATCTTGGAGCAACCTGACACGGAGCGAGCTGAGCCAACATAAAATTCTTTGTTATGTTTTGCAGGGTTAGTTTCCCCGTTCAACCCAAACTGGTCCCTCCAGGTGTCCCAGGAGCACCAGGAAAAGCAAGGGGAAGAGAAGGCGCTGCGAAGAGTGAGGAGAGGATGACACCTGCTAGAACTTACACAAATATGAGCGACAGGCTACATGCTCCCGGGCTGCCCGTTTGGACAACAAAGATGATGGTTAATTGCCACCATCTCTTCCCAATTCCAAGGCCGTTGCACCTCCCACCCCTTACACCAGCGCTGACACCTGCCTTAGGAGCAGAGAGTGATTTCAGGGACATCAAGTGGCAAACAGCTATTCTTGTTTAGTGGGGATGGTTCTGTACCAAGTTACTTCCTAACCTGGACCATGATGAGGTCAGATGAACCGTGTCAGGATTTGTGGCCACATGCTCCATCAGGTTATCTCTAAAGCCAAAAAGCACCCTGCGCTGCCGGTGTTATTTCCTGTGAAAAGTCATTTTGTACATTCTAACTTTTGTGCTGTTGAGAAAGCTGCGTGGTGGCAGGAAATCCTCTCAACATTTTCAGTCAGCACTAGGCTCAAGTCTTTGTAGAGAAAACCTAGTGATGGCTTGAGTTAACATTATTGGCTTAAGTATTTCTCACATTGTCTGAGGCCAGAATAGATGACATTTTCCCATATACAAGAGATTGTGAAAGCCAGTGGAATGCCTGTCTTATTACTACGAAGTACAAGATAATGTAAATAGAAAAAAGTCCAAAGAAGCACATCTTGACACAAACAAAAAAGCCCCCAGACAGCACTGCTTTTATTGTGCAGTATTTGGAAAATTCAAATGTATTCCTGACTCCGTGTTGAATGACTCTGGCATTTTTGAAGTGGGACTCTGAAGCCCTTTTGCAGAGCACATTCATTTCTGTAGACAAAGCCAGCAGGAAATGTGATTATGTGGTCAATCAAGTGGACAGCGTAGAAATATACAAAATATTTATTTTCAAGTGCCGTTGAAATAATCTTCAAAACTTCAGCAATGGTATCTGAAGAAATACTATTCAAAAGAACACCACAATCCGTATCACTCATTTGACTACATCTGCACTGAGTGCTTGTGTTTTTTAAATGCTTTTATACAATTAGACCTTCCTAATGCGACATAATTTAAAAAGCTTTTTTTAAATCACTGCACTTGGCTGGAAATTCCTTGTGGAAAAGTAAGAGGCAGATGTTTTTAAATCCATTTAAACAATAATTAAAATGGAAAAAAAAAAAACCAAACCACACTAAGCCCCAACAAAAACTAAACCCAAACAAATGTCTGCTTCTCTTGTCCTTCCCATTTTCTGTCCAGGCAGACGTTCATAGATTCTGCCAACAATAAAAGGATTAGGTCTGCCCACATTTTTTGTGTTTTCATGAACTTCCACATGAAAACTGCAATTGTGTTACACACAGGTGTACAGAACAACAGGTACAAATCACATTTTAGAACTACCTAGCATTTTTTTGCATTTCTATAGCATACTTGGGCATTGATGAAGCTTGTTTTAATGCGGAGGTAGATTTTCCATCTGCGGCAAAAATAGACATTGTACATGCAAATTCAGACAAAAGCTGAAGTTAGGAGTTAGAGAGATGTATGTCTGAAAATCACAGCTCACTTTGAACGCAATTTCAAACTCTTCAAGGCAATCTCATGGGGTTTTCAGTGTATTTTCCATTAAAGACAATGAAACTGCTAATGGTTAAAATTCTAAATGAACCTCTGAGAATTTAATGAGCAAGTTAGGCCAAAGAAACTGAATGTACTTCAATGCACACACATGTAACTACACAAAACTTTTTTGTATTATAAAACATGCTGAAAAAATCTAATACCACATCATATTTGGTATGGGATCAGATATTCAAAGCAGTACACTTCATTCTTGAATAGAGACACCCCCAAGAGATTGACAGCATCGGAGCGGATCAGGAAACAGAATTCCTCTCTTTCAGAGGAGGGCGGGGGGAAGCTCTGGGAAAATAAAGATATTCATGCTGCTATGGGATGATGTTCCTATATTATTGTGAACTTCAGCAGACCTGGAACAGAAGTTGGCTTTTCAGCAAGCTTTTCAGCAGCTCCGTGAAAAACCCTGACACCTGGAATGTGTCCAGAATGGCACCAGGAAAACTGGCTGACAGCAGGAGAGACGAGTGTGCTGCCAGGCAGAGATCCAGGTGCTCAGCCTGGTGTGGGAGCCACTCCCTGACTTCCCAGTTGGAAGGCTGTCCTTCCCAATTTCTCTGCACAAGAAGAAAACTCATACGAGTTTCCCAGATAGGTGCTATCACTTCAGTTTTCCCAGTGGGGAAAACTTTGCTCAATAGTAACTCTGTAACAAATTCATTGAATATAAAATAATGATGTGTAGTTTAAAACACTTTTAAAGCCTTTATTCTTGAAATGCATTTAGTTATATTGATTATGTTTCACTGCATTTTCCATTCAGGAGGGAATGCATTACACTAAATAGCACAACAGGGAAAAGTTTGGTCTACCATTGCCAAAAGATAGTCCTACCTGTAAAACTGTTAATTAGTCACAGCACAAAGGATATAAAAAACTTTTGGTCTTGAGATACCTCTTAAAATCCAGCTTGATGCCTTTATTTGTGCTGACAATCTCCTGTAGCCACTCCTGCAATGTGATGTCACTGTCTGTTTCAGGTGGATGAGCCATGATAGGGTCTCCATTTCCTCCCAAGCCACCACGAAGAAGAACATCTGCTTCTATCATGTGAACATCACCTGTTGATGTAAAAAATGAACGCTCTAATGGAAGCAAATCCAATAGTTTCAGTGTCCAGAGTCGCAATTACAGGGTAAGTCCTTCTACACTGGACTGTGCACACTTACTCCACAAAGATCACCCAGTACAAGCTGCTGTCTGAGAGGCAAGAGATGCATTTCTTTGGGCACTCTAGTCACTGAACTCTAGAAGTCTACAAGCACATGAAAATTTATTTTTGTAGATACATTTGACCAAGTAATCACGTTTGTTTTCAGAGGAACAGCAAAATGAATATCCAAAATGTGAATCCACTCTTGCTAAATTTCAAATCTCTTCCTCTTAAAACAGGGTTCCAGACAGAGCCTTCTAAAGAAAAGGTGACCAGAAGATTTTAACAGCGGGGACAGACTGAGTACTCCCCTTGTCTCATTCTCAAAACTGACCAACCCATCTCAGGCATAACTTAAAAAAAACAAGTCAGCCAGACAGCCAGAAACACCTGCCAGGAGAATGGTGGCTGAAACGCAAGACGAGTGGCAATCTTAGGATTGCTGCAATCTCCTGAAAGCAGCTTTCTACAAGGAGAAGCATTCAAGAGTCTGGGCAGTGCTACCACCTTTGCAGAGAATTTGATATATAGTTACTTAAACTGAAATAGTAATAAAAAGATAATAATTACACAGTCAATAGAAAGCAAATTACCAAAATAAATTTCACATTTTCCCAATATTCACATAAATTAAACTAAAATTCACTAAACTGCTCATAAATAACCTGAAATACTTCAATCATCTTGAACAAAATAGTAATAAATGTCCTGTTGAATCCAAGAAATATTACCCAGCGTGTGACAACTTTACACAATTTCAAACCATGCTAAAAAGCCCTAGAAGCAGAAGATCCATCCACACAGGGTCAAAACTATGTGGGAATCCTTAAGTGTTTCAGGGACAAGCAGCACAGCCCTGACAAAGACATCGCGAGCAGCCATCCTCACCGAGCTGTAGCTGCTGCTCACGGACAGCGACCCAGGGGAAAGCAGCCTGAGAAGTATGGCAGGTTCTGATGAGGTTTTGCTCAACTGCCCATTTAACAACCCTGAGATTTAACCTTATCTGATGGATGGAGGGAAGGAGAGAAGAAGGGGCGGAAGGAGGAAAGGGAGGAGGGAGGGAAGGAGGGATGGACGGACAGGCTTTTGTTCAGGTCATTTCCATTTTCTGTTTTCCAGAGCAGATCCACAAACGGAGGTGTCAGCAGACTGGACAGGGTGACCTACCAAGAAATCACAGAATGATACAGGGTCGGAAGGGACCTCTGGTCCAACCCCTCATTGCCAGAGCAGGTCCACCCAGAACAGGTTGCACAGGAACATGTCCAGGCGGGTTTTGAACGTCTCCAAAGAAGGAGACTCCACCACCTCTCTGGACAGCCTGTTCCAGGGCTCTGCCACCCTCACAGGAAAGAAGTTCCTCCTCATGTTTAGATGGAACTTTCTATGTTCAACTTTGTGCCCATTACGTCTTGTCCTGTCGTTGGTCCCCAAAAAAGATGAAAATGATAAAGATGAGAGATGAAACAGGAAAGAACAGGACCAACTTGACCACTGCTGCCCAGGCTGGCCCATCAGGGAGCTACAGCCAACCACACCGCAGAAACCAGTTTTACCTGCAGCAGAAGGTTTTGAGTTCCCCTGTGCCAACACACAAACTGAACGACGCTCCAGACAAGCTTAGTCAAGCGTGTGTGAAACCAGAAGACTCCTTAACCATGGCTCTGTTCTGCTGGTAGGGGATGAAGGGTCTGACCTGAGAGCGGGCCTGCAGGCCTGGACGCTGGTTGCCTTTTTTACAACTAAACCACTTTGTCAAATATAAGGATACTGCCTCCACACCTTGTCCCGCCGACTGGCAGGGGCTGATGGGCGTCCTGGGCTGGGCCTCACCTGGAAGACAAACCGTGGCGGCCTCCCGGCACAACCGGGCCCTCTCCTCCTCTCCCTCCCTCAGCCCCCCGCAGGCAGGGCAGGCCGGCAGCGCCTCACACTTACTTCTGGCGGCCTCCCCGGCCCGGGCCTTGCTGTTGGCGGCGTGGAACCACCTGATGGCCGCCCCGTCCCTCGCTGCGATGCGCCGCCGCCTCAGGAAATGATCCACCGCCGCCTCGCTCCAGGCGCCTGCGGCGGCGCCGAGGGAGACCTCCCCTCAGCACCGCCGCTCGGAGGAAGGGAAGGGGGAAAAGCCCAGGTCCCCGCCGCCGCGCCGCTCTTACCCTGCGCCTCGTCCGCCATCTCCTCGCCGGGGACCGCCCCGCTGAGGCGGGCGGAGCGGCGGGGGCGACCGGGCTGGGCGGGCAGCGAGCGCCCTCGGTACCGGCCGCTGAGGGGATGGCTGCGGGGAGCCTTTCCGCAGGAAGCGGAACGGGCGGGGAAGCTGCGTCCGAGCGGCACCGCCATGGGCCCCCCGCTCCCGGGCAGCACCGACACGACCCCCCCCGGCACTGCGGCGGGAAAGGGACTGCCAGGAGCATCGTAAAGCGGTTTGGGGTGGAAAGAGGGACCTGAAAGATCGAGTTCCAACCCCCTGCAGGGACACCTCCCACCAGACCAGGTTGCTCCAAGCCCCATCCAGCCTGGCCTTGAACCCCTCCAGGGATGGGGCATCCACAGCTTCTCTGGGCAACCTGTTCCAGTGCCTCACCACCCTCACCGTGAAAAATTCCTTCCTGGTATCTAGTCTAAACCTCCCCTCTTCCAGTTTGAAGCCATCACACCTTACCCTATCGCTTGTAAAACAAGTCCCTCCCCAGTTTGCTTATAGCCCCCCTCCCCCCCAGGACTGGTCTCCCTGGAGCCTTCTCCAGGCTGAACACCCCCAACTCTCTAAGCCTGTCCCCACAGCAGAGGTGCTCCAGCCTTCTGAGCATCTTTGGGGCCTCCTCTGGACCTGCTCCATGAGGTCCGTGTCCTAGAAAAGGTGTGCGTCCAGAATCACCCAAGCGCTGCAAAGACCAGACACATACACAGTAAAGCTGTCTTTTTTTTTTTTTTTTTTTTAAATAACAGAGATAAGATATCAAGCATTTTCGTTAACTTTCCTATTGATTATTACTTAAAGGAGTTAGTAGAGGGCGAGTGGCGAGAGGCAGCTGTTCCTTTGGTGACCCCCACGGACCGACCCACACGCAGTTTGGGGTACAACAGCCGCCTCTGACCCCACCACAGTTCCCTCGCTGCTCTTCAACCCTTCGCTGTTGCTTCCTCCACTGTCCGGTTGCACCTCGTTTTCAAGCAAGGACATGTTTTGTTCATGCTGTGCATGGGTGCAGTCTTCAGCTCTCCTCCAGGGCTGCCGTTTCTCTGAAGAAGTTACCTTAATGAGCTCAAATGCAGCCCCAGTCTCCTCCAGGGTAAGATCTTGAAGCCTGAACCCTTCTAGAACCGGCATTTTAAAGCACAGGTAACAGCAGAGCAGGTTAGGTTAAGTTACAAATTGTTTTTGATACAAAAACATAAAATATCCCCTATTAGCATCAAGAAGGCATCCAAGTTGTAATAGTCTCGTTAGAAAATAGTCCCAGCATTTTTGCTGGACACAATATAGATGCTGTATGTGTTTAGTTTTGGTTCTGTTCTTGATAAACAGTTGTGTGACAGTTACCAAACCCCAACGATGGTTTGCTGAACCTTGGTACAAATCACATGCATCACAAGTACATAAATAGATCTTAATGACCCAGTATCAAAAATACATACTATACATGAACCTCAGGTATGCTAAAAATCAATCTGTTCATGAAAATTCACACTTAATACACCAATTCTCCCTGAAAGTAAAGGTGGCTACTAATAGGTGGCAAAAGCGGTAGACAGGAGCAGAAAAGATATTGCAGAATTCTGGTCTGACTTATTGCTACATGTAGATTACATCAAGGGTAATCTGTTTTTTTCATTAAGCCTTGAAAGGTCAAATTGTATCAGGACTTCTGAACACAGACTAAAGAAAAAATAGCAGTATTTATAAAAATAGCATCCATTTAAGTTAGATAAATCCCCATAAATACAAGAAAGAAATCAGTTATTCTATAAAAAAAATTAACTTGAGCGTATGTTCCTGAAGCACCAGCGTAATACCCTAGTGTTAAAAGACTTGAACTACAATGTCTTCATGAACATACCCACAAAATTCTTCCTTGTGCTGACCATAAGCAAGCGTCAGAAGGTGTGCACTTGTAACTGACACATGGAGTTTGCAGTCAGCTACAGATGTTTGAATCTCAAATGGCAAGAAAACAGTTTTGTGCCAGCTTCTACTTCAGTGTTTTAGCTCATCCGCACATGCAAAGCACATGCTGCAGACAGAGATTAAATCTAACCACTGTGATTTTTAGCAATGCATTTGTCTGAAGTTAAGAGGCAAGATAGTATGGCTTAAAGTTACACTACATATAGAAAATGCTACAGCTGTGTAGAGAGGTAACAAAACCTGCCCTCTTCTGCACCAGTATTAAGTGTAAACTTTCAGAACTTTAAGAAACATTACAAACTACAATTCTTTTGTGGTAGAGTAACCGGAGAGGATCTGAGGGTTTTTAAAAAACAGTCTGAAAATCTATCAAAACATAACAGGTTTAGAAAGTTCAATATTTTTAGTGTTTGTAGCATTACAACTTTGGTGTTCAGATCTAGCAAATCAGTGTATTGCCTGTAATCAGCCTCATCAAAACACATGTTCTATGATGAAAAATATTAATTCCATTTTCAATGGTAGACTTGTGGGATCTGACATCCCACCATGGATCACAGGAATCAGAGCACCGTCCAGTTCATTCAGATAGCTCTGTGGAAGAAGGTGACCTCCAGATCCAGCTAAGTACTCGACCTAGAAGGGAAACACATTAGTGTTAATATTAACATTTTTTTACATTAACAAGACAAGACGAAAGTGTAGTGTCTTGGTAAAATAGTATTCCAGCTAGCGTGAATTGGCAAAATAACATTCAAACACTGGGAATTGGATGGGCTTTGAGGTCAACCATAAATGATTAGGCTTGCTATTGAGAAGTATGCATCACTCCCCCTGGGTTTACAGGGCCACACACCCTCTGCAACCCAGACTGCTTCAGTCTGATGTCCAGGAGTCATCTGACTGTATCCTACTATCATAGTTACTATTAATTTCAAAATATACTACTGAAAACTAAATTTTCAGGGCAGTATTTCCAGCTTGCCAACTCCTCTCTCTCTCAAAAAAAAAAAAAAGAAAGGGAAGCCTATCACAGAACACTTTTACAGGCAAGGATCTGAACTGTTTTACAATTCTGTAATCTTTTGAAGGGATTCACACACTGGAAAGCCTTGCCTTCCATCTCTTCCGTCCTCAGCTGGGCAGACACATTCTTTTCTGCTGTACAGATTTTGATGCAAATATCCCTTACTGAACTACATTAGTGAGCAAAACCAACAGAAAACTACGTATTTTCAGAAACGCACCAGAAAATTAGCTCTGTGATTCTCTAAATTGACTCACCTTTGAGGCAGATGAGTGCCAGAAAGCAAGAACTAGGGAAGGACTGATAGCTCACTGAGAGCAGCTATTTAGGGAATTTGGTCAGATTTAGGACTATTCCTTTCAAGAAAAACTAGTCAATTAAGGCAGTTTCTTCATGAAATTTCATCCTCAGTCTGGTTCTGGGATAGGGCAAAAAACTAGAAAATTTCAAAAAGAGATCCAAGGTCTTTACAAGAAAGAGATTTCAGTTGGAACGTTTGCAATAAAAGTTGAAAGATTACCATATCTGAGTCAACAGAAACTCTTAGGCCTATCTTATTCATCCCATTATTTTTCAAGGTTTTCAGGTGCCGGCAAAGAGCAGTACTGCAGGCAGCAGCAATCTCTTTAGCAAACTGCTGTGGAACAGTGCTGGATAGTTCATGTTCCTTTAGGAAATAGTATACCTGAAATTACAGAAAGGATAAGGACAGTCAGCAGCCTGGCTGTATTAAAAAAAATAAGGAAAAGAGTAATTCGGTATACATACAACGCAGAACAGAGCAAGCTATAATGCTTCTTTGCTGGCAAAGTATTCTAGTATTTCATATACTCAATCAAAATACTTAAGTGGCCATGGAAATATCTGGATTATATCTTTATAGAGTCATTGACGCTAACAAACTTTCAGTCTTTTTCAGAGGAGAAAAATGAAAAGCATGTAAACTTATCAAAGAGCTACAGAGAACTTTCTGACTACCAGTATGGCTCGCTGTCAAATAAATTAGTTTCTTTAGTAGTATCACTTAATATGATCACTTTACCACTTAACTATTCTAAAAAGTAGCAAAAAGGCTCAGGAACAATATAATTTACTAACTTCAGTACACTTCATAACTTTTCCATCTCTTTCGAAGTCTCTGCCTTGTGGTACTTTTTCACTCTGAGTTCCTTCCATTGATTTTCCATCGACTGGGCTTAAAATTCTACGGAAGATAATAGAATGGTTAATAACTAAAACAACACTTTGTGATTTAGATTGAATAACTTGTATAAAGTAATGTTTAGGCATCCTTAAAGGCTATTTAAAACAGCTTTAAAACAAAATGTAATATAGGATTTGAACCATGAAAACACAGATACTACAAAAAGAAATATCTAAACAGGGACAAACAACACTTAATAAAAACCTAATCTTACAGGTTTAAGAAGCTGTAAACCATCTTGGGTAAAGACACTGTTTGTTTTAAGTGGTCAGAGAAGCCACAGAAAAAAGGCAGACTAAGTCAAACCCATGGCCTGAGAAACAACTTAAGATGAGACAAGTTTTGATTTAGTTATGTATAATTAAAGTTTGAAGCTACATAAACAAGCATTCAAATCACAACCAAGAAAGATGTCTTGCATCTCATTGTCCTTTGTTGAATGCTGGCATTCCAAGCAGTGAATGGCCAAGGGCAGTTCTATACATTTCCAAGCCCCCCCGACAAGGAAGCTTAAAGGGATTAATTGCATCCTCACACAAACTGATTATGGATTTGATAGAGGACTTTCAAAGGAAACTCAGGGTTCATGCACTTTTCCTGCTAACTTCCTGAACAGAGAAAGTTGTGTTAGATTTTGGTGAACTACATGCAAAACTGTTCTGTTGGTGACATCTAGAGGATTGCAGGCAGTTTACTGTTCTATTCCCTTACAGGTTTCAGTATCAAGTACTTTCTTACATTAAAAGCACCTGAGATTCATTTCAAGAAATTAAAGTTAGATATTTGAAAATGGGGAACAAGAATTCTCCAAGATGTTTTGCTTTGGTAATACATTTACCTTTTGTTTGTTTGCTCTTCATTTTCTACCCAGCAAATATCTACATATTCTTTTACGTCTCCTGTA